CCGGTCGTGGGGCCTGAACTCTGGGCCTGGGCGCTGTCCCTCAGCTCTTCAGCTCAAGGCTAGCGCTCTACCACTTGAGCCACAGCGCCACTTCCGGCTTCTTTTTTCTTATGTGGTGCTGAGGAATCAAACCCAGGGCCTCAGGCATGCAAGGCAAGCACTCTACCACTGAGCCACCTTCCCAGCCCGAATTACAAGTATTTTAAACACTGAAGACAGGGGAAAAAGAAAGAGCAGCCCCAACTGGTGCTACAGTAGCTCGCCCAGCTTGGGAGAGCAACTTGAGGCCAGGGGCAGGAGGCCAGCTCTGTGCACACCTGCTCCCTCAGAGAGTTCACACAACCCACCTCAGGCTACGAGAAAGAGCACAGTGGCAGTGCCCAGCACTAAAGGGGATCTTACGTTTTCTGACATAACCACTGCAGGCACAGAAGATGGCCAGTGTTTTTATTACCTCAAATCTTCAGGTCAGAAAGGAGGCTGGGGGGCTGGGAAGGTGGCTCAGTGGTGGAGCACTTGCCTTGCACGCCTGAGGCCCTGTGTTCCACTCCACAGCACCACATAAGCTGTGGCTCAAGTGGTAGAGCGCTAGCCTTGAGCTGAAGAGCTGAGGGACAGCGCCCAGGCCCAGAGTTCAGGCCCCATGACCGACCAAAAAAAGAAAGAAAGAAAGAAAGAAAGGAGGCTGGAAAAGCACTGGGTGATAATCCTGGTTTTTATTTTTGATTGCTTATTTTCCTTTCCTGGGGCTTGAACTGGTCCTGGGTGCTGACCTGACGTTTTATTTGTTTAGTATGTATGTATGTATGTATGCACGCATGCATGTATTGCTCAAAGCTAGTGCTCTATACTTGAGCTGCTCGGGTGTCACTGAGCCCTGCCTGTGCGACAAGGGACAGGAAGAAAAGCCGCAGACCCCTCCAATCCCTCTTCTCCTCTCCCCGCTCTCTAACCCTCCTGTCTTGTCTGCCTCTCAGCTCAGCCAACAGCAACCCAATTGTTTCTCTTATTTCCCAGAAACTGTATTAGCCTTCCAACAAGGTCAGAGGAAAAGTAAAAGCAGCTTTTCACTTGAGGGCACATTTGCTTCCAAAAATCTGTAAAGTATTAAACCAAGAAGTGGCCAGGCCCCAACTCCACACCGATGCCCTTGCTCCATTCAGGGTAAGGGGCCTCTGGACCAGGGTCAGTCATGAGGCCCTGGCTCCAGGCTCTGGGCTAAGCCACAGTTGGCCTCGCCTTCCTGGCTAGTCTGCTTCAGTTACAACCGCTTCCACATGCCCCAAGGTGTGGTGTAGCCTGGGCGCTCGGGTGCCCCGAGCCCACCAGCTGTAGGCAGGTCCAGGGTGTGGGGCTGGGTGCCCTACCCCGCTGGCTTGGGGCTTGTGACAGGACGTGCATTCATTTCCAGGACACCCTGAGCACCGGGAAATGACTTGGCACGTCAGAAATGTGAGCATCTGGAGAACTCTGCTGAGGACAAAAACCCCACATTGCTGGGCTGCAGGCACACCCCACCCACAGCCCATGGACACAGGAGACTCAGACATTCCCACTGTCTGGGGTGAGGCGCCAGAGGCTGTAATCCTACCTACTCAGGAAGCAGAGATCTGAGGATCACAGCTCAAAGCCAGCCCAGGGAGGGAAAGTCTCTGAGACTCATCGCCGATTAAAAGACGAAAATGGAGCTGTGGCTCAAATCATAGAGCACCAGCCTTGCAAGAAACAGGTCAAGCCCCAGTACACACACACACACACACACAGAGCCAGAGAAATCTGGGGTGGGGGACCTCACGCCCCTCTGGCCTCGAGTTCTCCGGACCCCGGTGCTGTAACAGAGCTCCCTTTCCTGCAGACAGCAGCCCAGTGTGGGCCTCCAGGGATTCATCAGCCTGGCGGGACGCCCCAACTCGGGGTAGCAGACACTGGTGTTGGGCTGTGGTTCTAAATCGCCTGCCGCAGGCAGTGTGGAATTTAACCCCTCGCCAGCAGTCCCGGCCAGCCTATCTCCAGACAATAGGTACACTTTTGTCCCGGCAGGAAATGGAAACTCTGATTCATGCGTTTATTTTCATTAGCTGGAGAAGGTTTGTGGAGCTTTTTTATTGGTCGGCTCTGCGGGGAAGATGAGGCGCAGCTGGGCTGGGCAGGCGGAGGAGAACGCCGGCCCGGGCACAGCGCTGGCCTGCGTCTGCCCCAGGCTGGGCATCTCAGTAAACATGCAGGAGACAGCCCTGAGTCCCAGAGACAGACCAGCAACACACATGGAAAACTACTGGCCAGCTCTGAGGAGTCACAGAAATGTGAGCTAGCGGAGCCCTGTTCCCAGCCAGGCCATGTGCAGAACCAAAAACAACAATCCCAAACAGGAAATGGACCCAGGCGGCAGGGGTGGGCGATCTGGTCTTCAGAAAAGTCCTATGACAAAGCAGCAAAGGCACCCAGAGGCTTACAGACAGCACACTGGGCACCGGGGACCTCCATGCTGGGGACCCCCACCCCATGGAGAATGCAGGCATCGCGGCCTCAGACAAGAGCAGGCCAGGGAGAGCGTCTGTCTTGATATGTGGAATGGGAGGCGGTCTGAGCAGCTATGGGAGGCGGTCTGAGCAGCTATGGGAGGCGGTCTGAGCAGCTATGGGAGGCGGTCTGAGCAGCTATGGGAGGCCGTCTGAGCAGCTATGGGAGGCGGTCTGAGCAGCTATGGGAGGCGGTCTGAGCAGCTATGGGAGGTGGTCTGAGCAGCTATGGGAGGCGGTCTGAGCAGCTATGGGAGGTGGTCTGAGCAGCTATGGGAGGCGGTCTGAGCAGCTATGGGAGGCGGTCTGAGCAGCTATGGGAATGTCTCCAGAGCCAGGCCGTAACCAGCCACTCTCACGCCTCCTCCTCCCTCCTTTCTTTTCCTCCCTCAACCTCACTTCTTTCCAGCTCTGCAGACATTTAAACCTTGGCAAAGTACAAAACTCACTCTTCACTGGTATCTGAGAAATATAAACTGAAAAGGAAAAGGACAAAAATAATAAGGAACAAAATGCAGAACACATACTGGAAGCAAAATGATTTCCAATGAAACTTCCTTTTAAGGCTTAGTGAAAACATGAGGAAACAGGCAGAGGGGCTGGTGGGAAGGGAGGGCCTGGTTAAAAACACACTTCACGTGCCGGGCGCAGTGGCTCACGCCTGCCATCCCAGCCACACAGGAGGCTGAGAGCTGAGGATCAAGGCTCAGAGGCAGCCCAGGCAGAAATGGCCACAAGACTCCATTTCCAATTAACCAGTCAAACGTCAAGCTGGAGGCATGGCTCAAAAGGTAGAGCACCAGCTCTCTCTCCTTTCTTTTTCTGTATAGCATTATCTTTATCTACAGTGAGTAAAATAACAATGATACGTTTGGTTTTGGTGTTTGGGGGACAGCGGCCTAGGCTGGCCTTGAACTCACAAGCCTCCTGCCTTAGCCTCCTGATGGAGAGGAGACCGTCCAGAACCTCAGTGCTGGGTTTACGTTCCGGCTTACTGTCTGCACTATGTTTAGACTCATGTTTCCTGCCTCACTCCCAGGCTCCGCGGCCGCGGCTCTCACCTGGCCTCCTGTGCGGGTGTGGGGCCGGTGGCTCAAAGTGAGGCCTGGGGAGCAGCTGTCCTGGCCACAGCAGCTGCACAGCCCCCGGGGAGTAAATGTAGACTTCCAGAAGGGAAGAAGGAATTGGTCGGCTGACGCGGGCAGGGCACACAGGGGCACGGGGGCAGGAGTGACAGCCCCGCCCACCCCACCCCTCCACTTTGAGCTGTGAACGGGGCCAGGTGCCAGGCAGGGCCGCCCCTGGCCAGCGTGACCAGAGAGGGGCTCACAGTGGCACGTTCTCGCCACAACTCCCCTCAGAGGCCCTGGGCTGGGTAAGGAGCCCAAGACCGGCCTCCTTTACAGATAAAGGGGCTGGCCCCCCGTCCCTCCTGAGGGCGGGAGGGCAGGGGCCTGTGAAGGTGTTCAGGGAGCTGGCTCTGTCCTGCAGGCACAGTGGAGACAGGTGCGTTATGACCCGGGACCCTCCACAGACCACCAGCAGCTGACGGGGGGTGCAGAAAGAAGAGCCCTAACTCTGTGAGCCGTGGGGACACCATTCTCTAGGCCCCAAGGGGCACAGACTGTGGCAACCCTGAGCCATCTTACTTGCTTTCGATAAAGTATTTTTAAGTGGCTTTAGTTCCTAGAGGGAAAGAAGAAAATGTAGCAAACCCAGTCCAGACAGGATTTTCCATCTTGTCTGAACATCACGCCACACATGTTTATAATTTAGGTACAGACACTCTGGGCTGTGAGTGTGTGTGTGTGTGTATACATGTGCGGGAATGTGCACAGGTGTACATGTGAGTGTGTGGACATGTGTGTGCATGTGCATTTAAAATACTAGCTGCAAAAAAGGTAAAAACACTACGGGCTGCACTCTGCCAGAGTCCTGAGGGCTGGCAAGGACCGGCAGTCTGGTGAAGTCGTTCGGTCTGGAGAACTCAGGCCAAGAAAGAGCTGCACCGGTGTGTGCCAGGGCCGGGTGCCCATGCCAGAGAGCAAGGTCAACAACAAACAACTGCTGTCTCTCTCCTGGGCAGCAAGATGTCTGAGGAGGCTGTGTGGTCTCCACCTAGAGAACGGCGCCTGGGCGGACTGCACTCACCCCCGGGGGCTGGCGAGGGACAACAGGACAAGGACCGAGGAGGTAAACTGGGTCACAGCTGTGGACACCCGACCAGCCACACTGGGGAGCACCCAAACCCCTGCTCTGTCAGTGCTCTCCACGTTGAGGGTGAGGAGCTTAAATATCTAGCCAAGAAAGGTCGAGCCCCAGGGAAACCCAGTTCTGATTCCGTGGACCATTATCCAAAATGGTCCCCCTCTCCAGAAAAGTCTGTAACATTCTAGCTCCAAGATAGCCAGCAAAGAAGCCAGGCTGAAGGCATGACTCAAGTGGTAGAGAGTCAGCCCTGATCAAGAAAGCCCAACAAGAGTGAGAGGCCCTGAGTTCAAGCCACTGGATGAAGCGCACACACATGTGCATGCACACAAATACGCATGCACACCTGTATGTGCAGGTGTGTGGGTGTGCACACACACACCTGTCAGCCCCTGAGTGACATCATCTCTCTTCTATGCTTCCAACCCAAGGGTGTTTGCAGGTTTGCACTCGAGATCAACCATCTATCTACTCAGACAAAACAGCGCTGTGTAAAACCCAACTTGGCAAACACAAAACTAAAAAATCCCAGTTGACACACTACAGCAATCTGGAGGTGATTATCTGAACTAAAGTGGGGGAAAAAGGTTTTCTGTTTGTTGGTTTGGTTTGGGTTTTTTTTTTTTTTCAATTTTGGTTTGGGTTTTTTTTTTTTTTCAATTTTATACTGCTGAGTCCATTTTGTTTCCACTAGATTTTTTAAAATATGGTGAAGCTAAACAACAAATCTCTTTTCACAAAGTGATGGCTTCGGGCCTTGCAACCGGGTTTTACAAGACACACTTCAGAAATGCACCTAAACCCTCAGACACAGCAAGGTGTTTTGTGCATCTTGGGGAGTCTCGGGGCAGGGGAGTGATGCATTTCCACCAGGGGCCACCACCCTCACCGAAAGTAATGCAGGGCACTCCTAGCTCAGAGCCCTACACAATCCAACCAGCCCCAAACAAACTTCTTTTTCTCTTGAAATCCTTTAAGAACAATGAAATTGTCCTCGATTCCCTGCTCTGTGTGGAGAAACTGAGGCATGATGTGACTCTTGACAGGGTCATGGGGCTAGTAACCGGCAGACAAGATGGAAAGACTGAGTCCAATTCCCAAGTCTCGCTGTCTCAGCTCAGAGAGTTAAGGGCGTGGGCAGGTTTGTCTGCACTGTGCAGTCACTGCTACGTCCTGGATCTGGCCGCAGAGCACTGCCACAGAGCGAGCACTCTGGAGGTGCTGATGCTGCCCCCTCCTGCCCAGAAGTCACCCGCCTCAAGGGCACAGACAACTTCCTTTCTCCTGTCCATGGAAAGAACTCAAGATCCAAATTTAAGAATTCAAGGAGGAAAAGGATCAGCACTTGGTATTTTTAAACTGGCAATAGAGCTAACATGAAATGACATTCGCAGACCACCAGGACAGAGTTCTCTGCTGGTGGCTGGCATTCTAGACTTTCCTCCTGCTCCTCCTTCTGTGCTCCGACCTCACGAGTGATTCTCTGCCCTCCAGCAGTGCTCCCTCCAATGGGCAAACATTCAGATATCGCTGGAAGAATCCAGAATGTTCTTATGAAACTCACTGCTCCAATTTATTGGAAATCTAGAAACAAAGGTACTTAATTCAACAATAATCATGTTTCAGAATGTCTGGGTTGCATCCTGTGGGTGGCTCCTAGTGAGACTGGGCTGTGTGTGTGTGCGTGTGTGTGTGTGTATGCATGTGTTATGTGTGTTACGCTCTGTGTGTGCATGCGTGTGTCTATCTACCTGGGCTGGGAGAGGACGGGCCACCCAAGTTATCTGTTCTTGGACGGAGGGCGAGCTTGATTACCCAGGCTCTTCCTGGAAGAGCTCAGCCCCTTGAGTTCAAGCTGGCTTTGGCTAAGCAAAGGCAGAGGCCGGAGTGTCTGGGAATAAGGCCTCCCCCCATGTTTGTGTCCTGTCATTCCTGAAGAGCACCAGGGTGTTCTTTCACTCCCCAGAGTAGCCCCTGCAGTGTCTGGTGGTCCGAGCTGAAGGAGAGGCCGTGTGGGAACAGCAGCCCTTTCATAAAACTTTCAATCAGCTCACTGATTCTTAGCCCTGTGTGGGGTGGGGAGGCCCCGCAACTCTCCAGGGCCTCTCGGAGCATTCCAAGGAGAGGTCAGGAGCGGGGCCCTCTCTAAAGCACTACAGAAGGCACTAACGGATTGTGGACTAGATTGAGGTCAGAACTGACAGGGTCCATACTGCAGCAGGGCGGCCCACAAGCTGCGCGTCTGGGGGCCCCATCTCCACAACGGGATTCTGCTACTCCTCGTGGGGAGCGAGGTCGGTCTGAACTCAACTACCCAGACACCCCCCCCCCACTTGCCCTGGCCTGGCTGTAGACGCAGACTGTGGTCACTGTCAGACATTGACCGGGAGGATGACAGAGCCCAAGAAGAGCTGGCTGAGTGGCTGTGGGCACTGGGGCTAGGAGGCGAGCACTGTGGGCACCGGCAGTCAGGGAGGACCCGTGGGGTGTGCCTGCCCCTGGCGGGGGAGCGGGATCAAGGCTTACCCAGGTTGGGCTGGGACGTGGCCATGGGCCTCTGTGGCACTGGTGTGGAGGCTGGGGCTGCATGTAGCGACGCGTGGCTCAGGGGGTGACTCACGCTCTTCCGAGGGTCTTGCCACGTGGTGATCTTTTCTATGTGGCTGGAGGAGAGAGAGCAGCTCATTACTTCTAAGGGCGGCTCCTCACCCTCACCCCGTCCGGGCTCACTCCCTCCCGTCTGTCACGCGCAGCAGGGGACACCTACACTGGGCCTCATCCAGGGACGCCCGTGCCCCTCTGCTCACAGGCTGGCTGTGAGCCTCCCCCCTCAGCTCTCAGCCTCCTGCTTGGCAGCTTGGGTGACACAGCAGTCCCCAGCCCCAGGGAGGCTTTGACAGTCACCCTCTCCCCAGAAGGCTCCGGCCCCAGGCCTGCCTGCCCCCCCCCCCCCCCGCCGTCTTGCTGAGGAACAAGGCTGACCGCCAGGCTCTCTGGGAATACTCAGCTGGAAAGGTTGCAGGAAAGGGTTCTCCCCGGATGAATTCCCTTTAGCAAAGGCATTCAGAAAGCCACCTCTCTTGGGGTAAATTCTGTGGGGGTTGAAGGGCCCTGCTCTCCCCCTCCCCCTGGCGAGTCACCTCCCAGGCCTCCCATCCTGCCACACTGTCACCATTCCTGGTGACCTTTCCCCCAGGAGGCGGGGCCTCCACCCCACCTCCAGGCCCAGAGCCCATGAACACCGGGGTCCCAGTGACCCTGTGCCTCCAACCCAGATATCAAGGTCGTGCTGGCCCAGGCTTCATTATGCCCGAGCCAGTGAGGTCACCACAGTCCCTAGGGGACCAGCCTCTGCCAAAACCGCCGGCACCACAGCATTGGTCCAGCAGCTCTGCCCTCCCTCCCAGGCCAGGCAACAAGGGGCTCACAGTCCAGACCAGCTCCTAGTCCCCCAGACCAGCTCCTAGTCCCCCAGCTCAGCTCCTAGTCCCCCAGATCAGCTCCTAGTCCCCCAGATCAGCTCCTAGTCCCCCAGGCCAGCTCCTAGTCCCCCCAGATCAGCTCCTACTCCCCTAGACCAGCTCCTAGTCCCCCCAGATCAGCTCCTAGTCCCCCAGA